GTTAATTAGGAGTAAAAAAATTGTAAAAATTTTAATTTAAATTTAAAATAATTTCAATGGGACAATTTAAACAAGGCTCTAATAAGTTTTTCCCTAAGTTGGGTATAAAAAGAAGATTGTTAAAATTTTCAATTAGAATGTGTAATAGGCAATTATTGAAAATAGGGTTTATGGGTTTTGAATTTAAGTTTTATCCAGTTATTTGAATACATAAAAGGTTGACTATATGAGGAATTCATGAGTAGATGCAGGTAATCCGGGCAAAGTCGAGTTTCGAATGTGAAGCATCATCTTCTCAGTATCCGGATCACTTGAGATAGTTATATAGAGGCATAACTCCCTTTACTGCCTATATATTCTATATAGAAACTCGTAATCTGCATAAAATGTGCATCCACGTTGTTTGTAGTTTGTAGTTTCAAGTTTGCACGAGATGCCTGTCAAAATAAATCGGGCTGTTGCCTTTGGCACATCACTCAGTTTCTCTCTCTCTCTCTCTCTCTCTCTCTCTCTCTCTCTCTGTTTCCCTCTCTCTTCTTCGTGACGCGAACCTGGAATAGAACGATATTGATTTTATCCATTGTTACAAACTCGTTTTAATTTCGCTTTATAAAATTAAATACGTAGGCTATTTTTAGACAAATTATTCTCATAAAAGCATCCTATTATTATTTTTAAAAGGAAGTCTTTTCTTCCATTTTCATTCTATTCATTTTACTTAAATACGTCATATTTAGTGTATACTTCACTTTTGTTCTTCTTTATTTATAAAATTTTCATTTAACGTCTCTATAATTATGTATACATATAATAAAACAATTACAAAGCCATATTATAAATTTTCGGTTTATTTTTCATGAAATTAAAAAATTTTACAAATATTTTTAGTGAAATGTTCCATTATATTTTAAGAATAATCTTACATAATTCGTATTAATAATTTTTTATATCAGTACAATTTATTTTTTTGAAAATATGCAATTTGAAAATTTGAAAAAATAAAAATTCTACTCGGAAAAAAAACTACAACTGAACCGGTGAATGTTTTAGCCAAAACAGCTAAACATTTAGTCGAAAATGAACGAGCGATATTGGCAATATCACCGGACTGGCGATATTGGATTTTAGTTAAAGAACAACATAAATGAAAAATGACAAATATGACAAATTATGTAGAGAGTAATATTAAATGCGTATTTTTAAATCTATTCAATTTTATATTTCATATTACAAACAATTGAAAATAAATTCCAATTAAAACTGTTTTAAAATTAAAGATCACAAAACTTGATATTTGTGATTTAAGAAATATTTCTTGGTAAGAACGGTAAATTTCCAAATATTTTCAATATGGCTGACGAATGAGATTCAACTTATGTTCACTTTAGCCGAATTGGCTAAACATTCGACTATTGCCGTGAAGCTAAATTCCCAGCGTTGGTTGTGTCTTTTTTCATATTAAATATATTCCCAAAATCGTTCGTTCACGTCTTACAAGTTTTTTTCCGTGTATAATTAGTTAATTTTAGATATAAATGCGCGTCCGGAATTAAATTTTAAATGTTTGAAATTAATTTTCCTTCGTCGCATGAATTTTATTTCTGTACATATAAATTTTTTCATAGAGAAAAATATTTTAAATTACAGTCACTTGCACTTTGGCAAGAATTCGATTAATGAATTATACATCAAAGAGAAATAGAAAGCTTCACTCTCAGAATGACGTCTGAATAAAAAATTATATTCAATTGGCTTTTCATTTTTCTTTACATTTATATTATATATTGTAACGTGTATTTTATTTATTTTATTGAATTTAATGAAATTTTTAATAATTAATTAATTTTATTATTAATTTACGTAAAATACCCGTTATATTTGGTTTTAATTTATTTATATATTTATTTGGAACATAACGGGACATGCCCTTTCGTACAAAAGTACTCCTAAATCTAAAAATTACAATACTATATTTTACTAAATCTAGGTAGCCACTTAAGAAAAGATATTTTAGTTTTCGTTTAGCAAGATATTACGTAATGATGATGTGAATCGTGTGACATTATTATCAAAGAAATTAATGTCGTTAGAAATCATGTTTGCCTCTCTGCTAAGTCTAGCAATCAATGAGTTATTACCATAATTAGTTCTGTGAAATGCCACCGAAAACAATGTATATCGCCTAGAAAACATTCTGGGCACTGATAAATTTATCATAGAGAGAAGTGAGGGACAAAAGATAGCTCCATTCATAAGTCTATACAAAAAAGCCATATCTGCAAAGTAGAACCGTGAATTTAACAATGGTATATTTAATACCGATCTAAGTTCCCTGTAATCATGTGTATGCACATCAAAGGGGATATTGAGCAATCTCGCAGCAAATCTAAGAAATTTGTTCTGAACACGTTCAATTCTGATTATATGGAAGACGTAGAAAGGTGCCCAAATGATACATGCATATTCTATAATTGTTCTGACAAGCGTTAGGTATAAAGTCCTGATGGTTAACATGTTATGAAAAACAGAGGCACATCTCATTATAAAACCCAAGACTTTAGAGGCTTTTCAAACAGTCTCAGTAATATGATCATTAAATACTAAATTACTATTAAATACAACACCCAAATCACGCACCCTCTCTACTCTCTCCAAAATATGACCATCAATAGTGTAGTTGTTTAAATATAAATTAACACTACCTTTCGAAAAGGTTACAACAAAACTCTTTTTAATGTTTATACTTAAATGATTTTTAACACACCATTTTTGGAGTCTTTTTAAGTCTTTTTGTAACTTCAAAATATCTTTATTTTAAAAATTTATTTATTTATTGTCATTTGTAACGTTGAATTTATGTTATTTATTGATTTTCACTTTAAAGTTACATTTTTTATTATTATAATTTTAAGACAATTAACGTTAGCTAGATTTTTTAGTTATTATTAATTATGCCAAGACGCCAAGTTATTTTATGGAAAATAACTAAACCAAAAAAAAAAAGTTAAATAGCCCGAAAGGTAATATTTATAATTCTAATTAGGAAAAACTAAATCAGCTCAGGAATTCCATTATTATTTAACAGTAACAATAGACCGCGGAGAGGGGAGATAAGGAGAAACACCATTAATGACACAGAATTTAACAATAACACAATTTATTAATATTCACTTCAAGTTTTAAGATTTAAGTTTTATAAAGTGGGAGAAGGCCAATCAACAAGATTTATATTTTTATTTAATTTATATTTTATATAAATAATAAGATCGACGCGAAAGGAAGACGACTCATAATATTAAATTGAGGACTCACCGTCCATGTGAACGACGATGAAGTCGCCTCGTCGCAAAATTTATTAATGGTTTCACATATTTAAATTTAGTTTCTACAAAATAAAAGAATAGAGGAGAACACCACCTCACTGAACTGACACCAGGATGAGAATGAGAGTCAAAAATGGCTGACGAGTCGAACTCGAAAGCGTCGCTGAACAGCGCCCTCTCTTCTCGGTGTCATTAAGATTAATTCATATTCAATAGTTAATTTTATCCACGATCGATAATTGATATGCGACCGTTGGTAACATAGATTCCGACACTATTCGGTGTTAATTGATTTATACGAGAAGTCCATTGGAAATTGACTGCTAGTATTGATTTGACAGATCGTCAACAAAACAGCAATTTCGTCTTGCTGGTGTTCTTGAATATTCGGTACTCTCATCCAAATATATACACCAGGAAGCTCTTCCCTTGGTGACTTTAAATTCCAATGATCAATAGTGATGTACTCAACGTATTTATGATCCAGCGAGAATCCTTACAATGCCTCGCAATATTTTTCATAACAGAACGAAAGGACAAATCAGAATCAAATTTATATTTTACAAGTCGACTATTAATCTGACGACTTTGGCAAGTTGGTTTAAATTGAATGACTTTATTATTTTAAACAAAATGAAGTGAGTATCAAAAGAAAACAGTTTTTATAATTTAACATTTTACAGCCATTATGGCTGGATTCTCACCCTGGTGTCGTTTATTTACAAAATTTATTAATTTTATGTCATTTGTACGCGACAAAATGCCGCGTTACAATATATATATCTTCCTATATTACAAAAAGATATCGCCGCCGCTGTTTCAAGAATTCTTGACCTAGGAGGGGGAGTCCCCCCTCCTAAATTTTGAGGTTATGTTCGTTTCAAGGCTCTGAATTTAGCCGCAAGTCCCCCCTCCCTCCTCTCATTTCCCCTCCTCCGCCAAAATGGCCTAAATTTTGAGGTTATGTTCGTTTCAAGACTCTGAATATAGCCGCAAGTCCCCTCCCCTCCTCCGTCAAAAATGACCTAAATTTTGAGGTTATGTTCGTTTCAAGGCTCTGAATATAGCCGCAAGTCCCCCCCTCCCTCCTCTCATTTCCCCTCCTCCGCCAAAAATTGACTTAAATTTTGAGGTTATGTTTGTTTTAAGACCCTAATAAAGCAGTAAGTCCTTCCCCCTTCCCTCATCTCTCTCTATATTTCTTGTATTTCCCGCCAAAAATGTCATAAATTTTAAGGTTATGTAAATTTCAAGACTTTAAATATAGCCGCAAGTGAAGGTGGAGTTTCCGCCAAAAATGACTTGAATTTAAAGGTTATGTTCGTTTTAAGACTTTTTAATAATTTATTGGTTTTTAGGCAATTTCATTGAAATTATTTTTAAAAATAATTTCTTAATGTCGATTTTAATTTATTTAATTATTTATTTATTATTAATTTAATTAATTTATTAATTAAAATTTAATAATTTTTATTTTAATAATATTTATTCAGACTTCAATGAATTTGTTATAATAATTCTTTGAAATAGGTGGTTCATTTGGAAAAATAAGATCAATGGAAAATTTAAAAAAAAATGATTAAAATAGGGGGGTTGGCGCGCGAAGCGTGCAGGGGGCGAAGCCCCTCTAGTATATATATATAATATCTATATAAAATTCTGTTCTCTATGTTTCAGCGAAACTGGATTCAAAGGAGACATGCAGCGGTTCGAGTTCTCAGTTGAGGCGCGAGACAAGCTTTTACTCTCTTCTTTCAATCTTGAATGTCGCACTCGTTCTCATCGTTACAATGATACCAGTCACATCGATTCTAAATACAAGAGGTTTCGTCTAGCTCACAAGTCCAATCATCGCTGTCTCATTCGGTAGCTAGGCAAAAAAAGAAAGAAAGCCCCTCAACTCGGCCCGGAACCAATATTGATCGTCCCATCGAACTGCAGCAGACATATCAATTCGCTACAATTCTTCCCAAAAAAAAAAAAAAAGATAAAATAAGATAAGGACGGCTTTGAAACTTTACCGCCCGACGACGATTTCTTAATTTCCCGCTCAAAAACAAATTATCTGCAAAAAAAAAGGAATAAATAAATGAGAAAATAAAACGTATCACAAAATTTTAAAATCAAAGTTGAAAGAAAAAATGTCTAATTTTTTATGTCGTAGAAATTCAAATAAAAAATATTGGAAAAAAATAGAAATCCATTTAAAGTGTTGATTATTGAGAGACTCTACAAATTGAAGGAAAAAGAAATAGAAATCGATACGAAATTTGCAAAATGAGAATGAAAGTAAAGAACTCTGAGAACAGAAAAAAAAAGTTGTGGAGAGACTGGATTCAGCAGATATGGCGCGAGAAACCACTAAATTGGCTCAAGTGAAATTGAATTTTACCAGACTCAATTTGTGTGTACTTCCTCGAGTTTTATTTCGTTTTTTTCTTCTCTCCCTCTCTCTAAATCCAACACTTTTTACTGAATCAAATGCATCCTAAGGACTTAAATCCAATAGCAAGAGCGCGTCTTCTCTCTATGAAGTTTTTCACGAAAATTTACTTTATGCAAAATGAAATTGGATTTTTGTATATAAATATGAAACGAGGAATTAATTAAATTTGAAGTGACACAAATATATTTGATAATGAAAATTTCTTCAATGTTAATATTAGACATTTCGAAAACATGGTTTTATTAATGGCATAATGAAATCAATTTTTTTTTTATTACTGAATAATAAATAGTAAATCGTTCAAATAATTAAATTAAAAAATGATTTAGCAAAATAACAATTTATGTAATTAAATTACAAAAATTGCGTTTAATTAAATTAAAGATAATTTCATTTCATTTTATATTGAAATGTATTTTATTATTATTTTATATTTATTTATATTTATTTATATTTATTTATTAATCGAAATTAATTCCAGTATTTATTAATCCATTTTACTTAAAATTGTTATTAAATTTAAAAAAGTTTAATTTACTGTACATAATAAAATATTAATCATATTCAATTGTAACTATACATTAATTTTTCAGTTTAATTAAAATATTTGAGGAGTTTTTTAAAAACATTCTATAAAATTATAAATCAATTTTCGAAAATTCAGTAAATAAATTTTTTAAAAAAGTTTTTAAAAATAATCGAATAATACCTAAAATAGTTTTTATCGGTTAACAATATTTATGTAGAAAAAAAGAAATCAAAGTTTGAAAGTTCCGAAAAAAGCTGTGAATTTTTTAATATAAAAAAAGCAAAACAAAAAAAAAAAAAAAAATAGTTAAAAGTCACGTCGTCTGCGGGGTGCCGTTCCGAAAGAGGGTGAGCTTCTTTAAAATTCTAGGTAGAAGATATAAAAACCGACGCATTGACGATATAGGATGAGATTCAGACGCTACTGAATTAATCGAGCACTATAGAGAAATATATACAAGATCGATCGATGACACCTGATCTTGGCGAAAGCTCTCGAAAGGCAGTTGACTTAAAATAGACTTTCTCGCACGACCATATAATGACGGAGAGAAAAAAAAAGTAAACGTTTAAAATAACTGCTAATTAATATTAATTATTGTAATACTGTAAGTAATCAAGAGAGGCGTATATATAACTATTTAAGACAAGGCATTCGATTTCGAGAACATTTTTCAACAACAAAAAATTAATCTAAATTCTATCGAGGCGTTTTAGACAACTTTTTCCAAAAAAAACAAGTTTTAATGTTTATTTAATTTTTATTTTTTTTGTTTTCTCGCACCAAGATTTTTCTCATCCAAAATGACAATTTTACATATATATAAGTATAAATTTTATAAAAACCTAGGGTGATGTCGATTTTTATAATTCTATAAAAATTGGACAAAATTTTTCTTTCTTTCTCTCTTTCTCTCTCTCTCTCTCTCTTACTCTCATTCGAAAATTCTACGGAATCAAACCGCCTTTTTACCGAGACTCATGTTTGAATAACCCACTTTTTCTTGGGTGAAACCTGGACATTTCAAAAGACTGGTTTCTTTTTCGAAAGTAGAAATTTTTTCGTTCCTTGGAATTAGAATTAAAACTAAAAAAAAAAAAAAAAAGGAAACACGAAAAAAGAAGATTAGAGGGATTTGAAAAATCCTGATTAACCGGGACGAGCGATTACGTTCGATAGACTTGGGTTATAATCAAGAGGGAAGCCGTTGCCCGTTTATCGAAATCGAATTACGCAGAAGGTCGCGCAGACTCCGACGACAAAGTCGCCGCAAGTCTTGAAATCGAAGGGGTTGACTTTTCCTCTTCATTATATATATATATTCGTGGAAGCATTTAATAACATTTATATGTATACAGTGAGAATAATTAACTGCTGATCAGCTCATAAGTGAGAAAAGGACATTCTTATCTGACATTTAATGAGCACTCACGCTTAGGACTGATTAGTAGTTAATCAATTCTTACTGTATATATATATATATTCGAAGAATGAAATATCGCGTTCTGTACCAAGTTATATTATGAAATAGATTACAAAAAAAAAAATACAAAGAAAAAGACAGAAAAGAAAGAACAGATATATAATTAATTACGTTAAAATATAACAAGAGCCTACTAGTAAGCTTTATACTATTTATATATAAAAATCGATTATTAACTAGGTACAGGTAGAATTAAAAAAAAAAAGGAATAAATGTAAGTACATTTTGTCTATACAAGGAGTCACAACACACACCTATGAAAATAATGTTTCAAAAAAAAAAAAAAAAAAAAAAAAAAATAATGATAGTATCAAACATTAAGTAGCTGCTTTTTATTGATTTATTTTTTAATCGCGTGATTCTTTAGTCCTGACAACGTTTTTAATCAAATCTATACGTTCAATTTTTATATCGAAAGTTTCTCCCTTTAAAGTTTACTTCCTATTATTAACAAAAAAGAAAATTATTCTTTAATTTCCATTTTTTTTTTTTTTCAAATTAATTTTTATTTGTATCAGGCGAAATTTTTCTTTCTTTTTCTTTTGTTCAAAGAAAAAGCAGTATAAAAAAATTTATTAAATTTTGGGAAAAATTCTCTTAAATTACAACTCACTTTTCACATGTGAAAGACTGATATTTATAAATTAAGAAAATTTTTTACTAAAATTCAGAAATTATTTTAGATTAAATTTTTTTTTTACAGCTTTTTTTTATTATTCTAAAATTCTTTATATTTTTTACTAATTTTTATGATTAAAATTTTTTCATAAAGTGATTAAAAATTTTTTTTTTTTTTGAATATTTAATGAGTAAGTTTTTTTTAAAAAAGAAATTTTCCTAATAATTTTCTGATTTTTGTTATCATTTTAAAAAATATTAAAAATTATTTTTAAAAAATGAAAGTAATAAGAAATACAAAAAAAAAAAATGATTGTTAAAAGAGATTGTCGGACTTTTTTGTCTACTTTTGATAGCACAGTCAAGCTCTAATCTCTGCTGACCAATCGTTAGCGTATCTTCTGTCCCGCGAAATTTCGATATATCTCGCTTGAGTAAAAAATTACTTGTTTTTTTTTCTTTTTTTTTTTTACAACTTATGGTCACGACAGTCATGTGAGTTTGACCCTTTTGTTAATTCAAAGGGTAAATATCTTTTTATTTCAAAGGTCGACACATTGATTATTATAAACGATAATAACAATCAGACCTACTTTCTTTCTTTCTTTTTTTTTTTTTTTTATTTTCACTTCTCTTAGTCCAATCTAAATTATGCTAAAAAAAAAAATTTCAATTTATTATCCAAATTATAATGAAAATAAATGAATTTTGATTCAAAATCCACTTCCACGATAAAGTGTCAGGTTTAAAGAAGAAAAAATTCTTCACAAGCTTATAGATGTAAATTTAATTAAGAAAGCAACTATAGGCGACATTTAAAGCTCTCTAGGCCTAAATTCACTACTTGTTTCGATTTTCAGTAGTGCATAAATATGAAAGAGAACCGCGACACATAAAAAAGCATGGATGTGACGAGTGAATTTCGACAGAGAGAAATAATAATTCATGTGTTTTAAAAACTAAGATTGACTTTGGGAGCAAAGATCAGGCCGCTCGTTTGGAGTAGAAAATTATACGCTAAAATTATATCATGTATAATAATAATAAATATTAAATAATAATAATATTAATAAAATGATAAAATTAATAATAATAATAATAATAATAATAATGAAACGAGATAGAACAAAATACAAAACTACTTATACAAGTCACCTAGGATTAAAAAAGAAAGTCAAAGTTAAACACGAGAAAGCCAAAAAACATTACTCTCAAGCGACAAAAAAAAAAAAAAAAAAAAAAAAAAAATTGAAAAAGCGAATGTAATAGAAAAGAAAAAAAATGAACAAGAAAATTTGCGTGTATTGTCGGTTAGTGTTGTAAGTAAAATAATAATAAAAAAAAATGCGTTTTATCGACTAACGAACGAATAAGTAAACCTCGTCATAATAATTGTTCTTGCTGCCTTAAATAAACACAACTATCATATAAATATTATTATATATAAAAAAAAGAAATCTATCGTTAGTGCGCAAATCTGCCCATCGTCCATTTTTTTCTTTCTCCTGACCTCGCAGCTACAGCTTACCTATAATTATAATTAATAATATAACTTAAACTAAAGAATGGAAAAGAAAGTACGCTATTCTTTTCCTTAAAAAAAATAATAATAATTAATAATAATAAATAATCGTACAGGACTCTACGAAAAAAATAAATAAAATAAAAATTCTTCGCCCGTAATTCCTGTGCAACAGATTGTCTTCCTCTCGTTTTTTGCTTTCCATAATAGTGGCCAGACAATTTTTTATTCAAACTCTTGAATAAAAAAGAAGAATGGCTACACATTTTTCTGTTTGCTCTCAAATCACTCTCGTCGATTGCCCCACCCACACCCCTGAAAATTAATGACAAAACATTTATTTCACATTGTAATTTCGAATAAATAAAATTTTATTTTCTACGATTTAAGAAAATAAAATTTTTTTATTTAATTTAAAGAAACAAATCATAAATATTAAAATTAAGAAAATCTTCCATGTATTTCCAATAAATTTAAATTAATTACAATTTAAATTTATCTATTTAATATATAATTAAAATTTATTATGCAAAATAATCTTTTATTTTTTTAAAAAAATATATTTTATCTTAAAATTCTTTTATTTTAATCTAATTGTCATCCAGTGTAAAGTATATAACGAAAAGAAAAATGAATTTGTTTGATTTCGGGGATAAAAATACTGGCGATCGATGAAACTATATATATATTGATATATAATAAAAACTATGTTAGACGACTAAGAAAGCAAATACATAAAATAAAAACCTAACTGAATCATCGCAACGATGTAAATCGACGACGTTAAATAATTTTCTGTATGACTTAAATAATGACGCTGAAAATAGCGGACGAATTGATTATATAACGATCTAATGCATCATTGTAAATCTCTAAAGTTTATAAAAGGCGTACGACGCCACGAAGGTTTGTACGCCATTATTATGAAAAATATACATATTATATATAAATATATACATATATATATATATAAATAAATATATATGATTGTTATGTAAGCTAACTTTCTCAGACATATCTTTAACATGGTGCAAATTGATACCTAAGCGTTAAACGATATACTGTAATATTATGATTTATATTATGATTAAATTAAATATAATGATTATTATTAATAATTATAGTGCTATCGGTATTATTATTATTATTATTATTTTTTTTTTTCGTTATTTTCTACTATTAATAATCTCTTATTATTTGCAATTATTACCATTATATTTTTGTAAAATATTATTTCTATTTTCATTATTATTGCATTGAAAGAAATTAATTTCTAAATTTTACTTTTTTTTTTCTTTACTATTTTGGGAAATAAGTGACAAAAGTTTTATTTGTTTTATGCGACAAAAATAGTACATTTTTATCTTAGAAAGTATGTAGAAATTTGGATTTTAAGAAAAAATTTAATATAAAACGACAATAAATTTAGAAAAAAAAAAAAAATTATTTTATAAAAGCTGAAAAAATTTGATCTCCTTAAATTAACAAAAATTTCGCATTTTGACACTTTCTCTCCCTAAATTGTAAAATTTTTTAAGTTAAATTTATTATTAATAAACAATTTTCTTTAATGTATTATATATTTATATAATTTGAATATTTCGAAAATTTTTACAATTATAATTAAACAATGTTTCGAATGAAATTAATTTTAGAAATATAATATTACATTTTTAATTATTGAAATTATGATAATTTCTTATTAAATAATTATTATTTAATAATTACTACTATATTATTGTCATGAGAAAAAAAAGCCGCTATTGAAATACGAGGTAAGATGATGTTTGTTCATTAATTATATTAAAATATTGTCATCATTAAAAAAAAAATCGTTATCAGAATTCATTAAACATTTTTAAAAATGCATTTATGTATGTATATATAGCATATATAAATAATATATGAATATACGTATAAATATGTAGAGTGTATAGAAAATAGAAAATTATAATATTATGATATTATGTGTTTGTACAAATTTTGTCACGCTGTTAGAGAATTCGTAAATTAAACATGAAAAAAAAAATATCAAGACAGGGGTTTATCATTTAATAAGGGAAACGATAAAACAATTTTTATTTTTCCGCTCCTCATAACCGAAAATATAAAAAGAGCCTTTTTTTTAGAGATTTCTTTAATGCTTTTATAAATATAATTAACTCCAAAAATGTATTTAAATGAAAAAAATTCACAAAATATATTTTCTTGTGACAGTTAATTTTTGTTTTTTTAAGAAAAGAAAATTATTAATTTTATAGCAAATTTCACTAATCTTACGCTATTTTTAATTATGATTCTAATACGATTGAACAAAAGCGAAAAGTAAAATTTTAAAAAGTTAATATTTTTAAAAAAATATTGCTTTAATAATTCCTAGATCCTAAAATTGAAACTTCCCGTGTGTTTTTTTGAGCGTCGTTGAGTTATGAATTGAAATTTTTTCGCTTATTTTTTTTTTATTTTTGTTTAAAAGAAAAAGTATCTCATTCGTTAAACCGAAATGTATAGATAGTAGAAAGAAACGAAATATGGCATTGACTGGTACATTTCTAGGCAAGCGATTCTTTCTACCTATATTGATTTTTATTTCATATCCTGAAGCTATTCAAGTGACAGAGTGGATATTATCCCCCTTCCACTTTTCACTGACATTTCCAGTTTTCGATCTCTCTATATATCTCTTCTCTCTCCATTGGTGTTTCTTCAATTTCTTTTTCTTCGCTAAAAAAGACAGTAATACATCTCGACGTCAGGGATGACGACAATGTCTCTTTTAATTTTTTTTTTCTTCCTTTTTTTGCAATAATTTCACCTCTATCCTTTTTTCAATTATTGCCCTCGTAAAGTGCACGTTTTCGCCTGTCATCTTCAGATTCGTCTTTTAATGAACTTTACGTCTCTTTTCTTTTCTCATTTCACTTTCTTTTATCTTAATCCTTGGATAAAACATCGGAATTTCTGCAAAATTTTTTCAAAAACAAAGAATTGGATATAAAATTTAAAAATTAACTTTTATTTATTGATAAGTTAAAATTAAAATTTTCAGTGTTTGTTTTTAAGTCAACAGCAAAATTGGTTAAAAAAAATTTTATGAAATACAAATTCTACTAAGTAAAAATTTTATTAATTAAAAAAATAAACAAAATTAATTGAATAAAAATAAATGGACATGATTTAAACAAAAATTCCACGACATTTCCATCGATTCCATAAATTAAAATGAAATTCCATGAAAATTCCAGATTTTCCTTAGATGTAATCTTATAGAATTAAAAAATCAAATTCATTTTCTTAATTTTTATTAAATACTTTAAAAAAAAATAATATTAAGAATGGGAAATTGAAATAATTTTGAAGAATTAAAGAATTTTCTGCTGGAAAAATAAAAAAAAAAATTTTTTTGTCTTTCTCGATCATTTTAATTGAATAAAATGTTAATTTAATTTAATTTGTAATGAAAAATTGTTATTTCAAATTTCATTAAATTTTATAAAATTAATTCAACTTCATTTAATTAATTATATTATAATAAATAATTGTAATTAATTATATATTCCCGAAATATAATTTTTTTCTCCAGCGATTTTATCTTGAATGGAAAGGGGAGGGATCGAAACTTTAATTCAGTTGATTAAGTTTTTTTTCTATTCACTGGACATGTTTCAATTTCGAGAAATTTATACGATTCTAGTGTGGAGAATTTATTTTAAATTGTATATTTTTTTCAAATTCGTTTTCCTCAATCTTTGTGCTTTATATATATACGTTTGTTCCTTGCCTTGAATCATTCCATGTATTTCAAAGATATCGAAATCTGATTTCCCCGCAGACTGTGGACAAACGAGACGTCAAAGAAAATCTAGATCTCCATCAGTCCGTCCCTATTTTTTCTTTTAATAGTATCTCACATCACGTGGAAAAATTCATTTCTTTGAAAATTTCATATCTCATTTTTTTGTTTCATTTCGAAATCAAAGCAATGTGAGTTAATTTTCGAAATAACGAAGCATATTATTTTGTGTAGTAAAAAAATTGTAAATTTTCCACTTTTTTTTGGACATTTTATAAAATAAAATTTTTTTAAAGAAACATAAACAAATGAAAATCTATATAATATACCAAATACTATATAAATAATCGATTTAATTATTTATTAATTAATTTTTGTTTTTGTCAACTTTTTTTAATTTTGAAGATTTATAAATTTTTTCTTTTAAAATTAACGTAAAGAATACTTCAATTTAATTAGTTTACAAAATACATGTACATAATTTTATATTTTTATATTAGAAATAACTACAATTTTTTTTTTGAATGTCAACATCGATAAACGGTAAAAAAATCATACCCAAAGTTAATGTTTGGTCAATTCCATCGGAGAATAATTCCGTCGAGTTCCTCTAGCTGACAAATGTCCAAATTCAACTTCTCTATTATCATTTATCTCTGACAAGCCCTTTTTTTGTCTTTAGTCTATATTTAAAAAATTGAAGACCTACTGGAGTTGTCATTAGAACAACGAATCCGAGACTCTTTCTAAATCTTACAACTGAAACGATGAAAAATTATTATTCACTAGTGGTAGAAATATATTACACAGAAAGACAAACTTGACTGTTTGATGTGATGAAAAAATTGTAATAAAAGAAATGTATCAAAAATTTATGATTTCAATTCAGACCCAAAATTATTAAAATTAAAAAAATTTAAATAAGAATATAAATAATTTTTAAATATTTAAAATTCCTTAATAATTACCTGAGCTACTTAAATTTACTGATAGTAATTTAAAATTAATTTAAAAAACATCTAAACTTATAAAATTAACTTATTCTAATTGAAATTACAAACACAATATGTACGAAAGTTTTATAAACTTTATTTAATAATATTAAAGTTAGATATTATTTTTCGACATGTCCTACAAGGACACTCTAACAAAATGGGGAATAATAAGATCGAACTTAACTAATTACTTAATAAAAATAAATTTCTACAATATGCAAATCTCTATCTTGGATAATATAAAAAATATCAAATAATTAATTAATTGTTTTGACAAAATTTTCAATATCTCAGACTTTAAATCTCACTAAGAAATATATTATGTAAATCCATAAATCAGACGAAAATTTGTTTCTAATATTAAAAATAATCATTTCGATTTAAGGATCAATTTACTGAAATTTCAAACACTTAAGTAACAATAAAAGTTGAAAAATTTAGAGATTAATTTCAAAAAAAATTTATAACTTTTTTGCTATATTGACCCTAAAGCCATCAATGAAAGACGAAATTATTTTGAATCACCGGGTCATAAACCATTACTTTCAATTAAAAATAATATCAACAATGACTAAGTAACAAGAGTTTTGATCGGAAAAAAAACTTGTAAAAATAAAAATTTTGAAAAAATCTAAAAATAACTCTCTTTTTTCATGGGCGACTTAAATTTACTGACTAGTCGACTTTTATCACAAATCAATTTAAGTTTTGAACGCTCCGGCTTGAGCAGCCTTAATAATAAACGTTTTAACCGTAGTTTCATCTAATTTTGAAAATTGTGGCGTTTGAACAACTGTCGTCATATGATTCAAAGCGAATTTGAAGCAAAAATCTTCTAATTCCTGCAACAAACAAAAAATTATAAAAGTGAAAAGTTTAACCAATATTTATTAAAAATTTTAATTGAATTTTTCTTTTATCTATTATTTATTCATAGTCCACACCTTTTAGTTTCGGACGAACTTCCAATTTACATCTTACAATAATTAAATTCTACAATATTAATTTAAATTAAGATATAAATAAAAATAAAACATTAAAATCATAAATACAATTTTCATTTCAATGTAATAATAATAAAAAAAAAAATTTACACTACTTATACCTATTAAATTTTCAATCATTTTAATAGATATTATAATTTCAGGGTTGTCACAAGAATATGTAAATTTTTCAATTTCCCTGACATTTTCCTAATATTAAAAAAGTTTTATTAAATTTAATGAATTTTAATAGAAATCTGATATTTTGAAATTAGAAAAATGTGTTTTTCTACTATATTTCACTGTTTTCACTAAAGCAGGGATCACAGTATCTTTTTTCTTGAAAATAGATGAAAAGATGAATTATTTACCGAAAATAAGTGACAAAAAGGTGATTAAATTTCTTACCTTAGCATTATATTCAATTGCTGTTTTATAAAGAAATGCAACATTCATTACAGTAATTCCCTGCTTAATTATTTGAACGCAACGTCGTTTTAGTTGCGTTTCAAAATATGCATTCGCCAATTCTAAAAGTTCTGAAAATTTAAATAATCTGTCAATAAAAATTAAAACGAACAGAAACTGAAGATTTCCAAATTAGAAAACAATATACCTAGTGCGTTTTCGGCAGGTAAATCGACTTCATCCGTATATAAATATTTTATAAACGATCTATAGACTTCATAAGAAAACTGATCATGTTCCAATGTACTAAAATGAATATTATACAAGAATATTAAACTATAATCTATTATATTCTTAATGTTATACTTAATGCTTACAAAAAAAAAATAATAACATTTGTAAAAAAAGAGAAGTCGACAATTCTTTAGATTTAAAAACAAATAGAAAAATCTAATAGAATTACAATTTTTGATTTGCATTAAAAATTGTACAAACTCTTGATTATTTTCAGCCCAATGCTCCTGGAACATGGATCTAAAATATTGACAGCGGATTTTAAGCACAGATTTATGAACGTGAATTGGCTTTCCTTGTACCTGAATCGTCAGGTCGCATGTTGCCTAAAATTTTAATTTTTTAAATGTTTTTTTCAATTAGAAAATAATTAAAATTAAGAATGATGATTTTATCACTTGGTCGTCTTTAAAAAAAAATAATAATAATAATAATAATAGCTAATAAATAAAATTCTTCAGGATTTTTAAAAAATTGTAATATATCGGGGAAAAAACAAATAAAAAAAATAAGCAGACAACAATTAAGAAAATAAAAATATAAAAAGACTGTAAAATGAAAGAAATTTTATGATAATGAAAGAAATATGTATAATAAAAAATAAAACGAAAGATAGGACAAAAAGAAATGATAAATTGTCGAAAACAAAAAGATAAATATTATAATAATTGAGAAAATATAAAGATAGAAAATAAAATTGAAGAAAATTTTATGATAAAAAGTATAAATAAAAAATATTAAAGATAAAAAGTAATGAAACAAAACAAAGTTAAAGAAAGAAGACAAGAAAAAGAAAAGGAAAAAAGAAATTAATTTTTTACCGGATCATCGAATGCCTGTTTCAAGCATTCGAGAATTCCACTATCCTCATCGGCATTTAAAACAAGTGGCTCATGCATGACACTCGGTGTTGCGTAGCAAGCGAGGGCGTCGTGAATATGTGGCAAAAATGTGGCAACCGGAGAAGTAACACTTTGTCCTCGACACTGACCCCACATAAAAATTCGTCCACCTTGACCGACAGCAACACTAATATGATTATAATGCAATGCAGCAATATCGGAAACTCTCCCCATTTCTGGTAACGTTATCTTTAATAAAAAAAAATTAAAGCTTCTGTTAAGCTATATTTTTTTGTATAGTTTATGGTTTCAATAAATAAATGAATTTTTTCTTTTTCTCTCATCTATTGTTTCTTTTTTGTTTTAAATTACTAAAATTTATAATATAAAATTAATAGCAAACTCACTTTTACTGGAGAACAAGAATTGGCTTTATTTCCAAGACCAAGTTGACCATAAGAATTTCCTCCCCAAGAATAAAGTGTACCTTCGTCACTGAGAGCTAATGTATGAGCGTAACCGCAAACAACTTTTTCTAAACAAAAGAAAAAAAAACGCTTATTTTAATTTTTTTTAAAGTGATAGAGCATTCAACTGGAAATTGAAAGATCCTGGGTTCGCCCCAAGTGAAGTTAAAGTTTTTCACATTTTCAAAAATGTCTATTACCTACAAATACTCCAACGAGAGCTGCAACTCGACAAGGACTCGATTGATTAATATAATTTCCAATACCAAGCTGTCCAACTCCATTATATCCCCAACCGTAAACCTCACCGACGTCAGTTAATGCAATACTTGACGTTTGTCCACAAGTTATGGACACGACTTTTTTTTCAGATAAAATCGAATTAACTTTTCGTGGAGCACCTTGATTGGAATTTATTCCACTACCGACTTGACCACAATTATTTTGTCCCCAAGCGAAAACCTGTGTAAAAAACAAAAAACAAATATATATTCTATTTTCTTCATTTTGTTATGTTATCATAATAAAAAAAGAAAATATTCACCTCGCCTTCATTTGTGAGTGCAAGTGAATGATGACTGCCACATGCAATACTGACTATATTCTTTTCGCATAAAATTGTTGAAATAATTGTCGGAGTTAATCCTTGATTCGATGATCCATTTGCCAATTCATTATATCCATTGTGACCCCACGAATAAACCTGCAAATTAAGCGTTAAATTATTATTAAATAAAATGAATATAAATAAATTCTACTTTTTTTTATTAAATGTTTTTGTATAAAAAAAAATAATAGAAATTAACTTTGATATACAATAATTACAATATTATACAAAGGATTAACATTAAAAAAAAAAAATATATGAAATTTTAATTTTAAGGTAGAAATTATTTGAATAAATTTTCATACTTACTTCACCTTTATTACTGAGGGCAAGAACATGAGGTCCACTACCATATGCAAAATATTTTATTCCTTTATCACAAAGTGCTTCGATTTTTTTTGGGAAAAGAGTATTGTGAACATCACCTGTACCTAAGCAGCCCGAAACATTTGTTCCCAAACCATAGACTGAACCATCCTTTGTAACAATAAGTGCTTCATTTCCTAAGCTTCCTATTAAAAATATATATTTACCCACAAATTAAAGAATCAATTACACAAACTATAAGAAATAAATAAATAATACAAACCATAAACAACGGCCATATGAATTTTTCCAATGAATTTAGAGTCCAAAAGACTAAAAATTGGCCAATTTTTTAAATCAGCACGTGACATCCTTTCAATAAATGCGAATATTCAGTCTTTGTGTTTAAAAACAAAAAAAAAAATAATAATAATAAAATATATATTGGAATATAAAATTCAAAATTTTTTATTTTGAACCTTCTTCGATAATGACCATTCACTTGTAATATGCGTATTTTATCAAAAACGTCGCAACAATGATACTACCAATAAAAAACACACAAGAAATCCAAGAATCGCGATAACATCTGGTATTACAAATTGATTGCGAAAAATAAATACTGCATTAATTTACAATTTATATACACTTTTTATACATATCACGATTTTAAAGGTTATGAATGAAAAATTTGTACTAAATATAATTTATATAGTATTCTAAATTAAATATTTAGACATTAGACTAATCAAAATGCAGAACACATTTTCAAGATCCGTGAAAATTGTAGAATTTCTTTGTCTGTGGGCTTCATTTTTTTTTTAACGAAAAAAAAAATAACAAAAACAAAACTTCAAATGACAGCACAGTGCCTTGATCTGAAGTTAGCTGTAGAAATGTCACATTTAAAACTTCGATTATAATCGATTTTTAAAAGCGCGGGAATTTGAATTCTAAGTTAAAATTGAATTGAATCGTAAAATTAAATTACTATCAATTAGGTAAGTAAACGTACTACATTATTTTAATTTTATCATTTTTCCTTCCTATTATTTATTAATAATTATTGATTAATAATATAAAAATATTTGTAAATTAATTTTATTATTTATTTAAATAAAAACTAATTATTCGAAATTTATTTATTTATTTATAAAAAAAATAATTTTTTATTTCTTTCTATTAAAAAATTATTTCAACATACAAAATATCGATACAGGTTTACATTTTTGAAATTAAGAAATTAAATAAAGAATAAATAAATAAAATAATATGATACCACAATAATAAAAGTTACAAATTATATAATAATTACAGATCAAAATGTACCGGACACCCATTAAAAACTTTTTTTTTCTAATTTAACTTTTTTTTGGTTTGGAAAAATTTTTTTTTGGGAGAATCTGGTACATTTTAATCATCCTGCAGGCCTCGAATCGACTCAAAGGCACAAAAAAAGTCGTTTTAGTCGATTTATATTCCAAAAAAAGTCGAAAAAGTCGATTTTTTTTATTTTAACAAAAACATTTTACAGATTTTTAAATAATTTTTTTTTTTAAATAATAATACTTTTGGAAGGGTTAAAGTTGAAATTTTTAGAAATAATTGAATTTCAAAAGATTTTGTTAATTTTCAGAAAATAATTAAATTTTACAGAACTAAAAATAATTTATCAAATAATTTTAGATAACATTTTTTAAATGTAATTGAATTTTCAAAGATTTACAATTGAGATTTTTGAAATTAATTGAACATCAAGTGATTTTTAATTAAAAATTTTTGATGATTTCACTAAAAAATTTATTAGAAATTGCAGACAAAAATACAATAATTTGAAAACCATTTTTAATTGAAAAATGGTTTCAGATAGTTGAATTTTCAAAGAATATTATAAAAATAGTTAAGAATAATTGAATTTCCTTAGAATTATAATTGAAATTGTTAAATTTCAAAAAATTTTAGAAATAATTAAATTTTTAGAAGCTTTTAAATTCAAATTTTTGAAAATAATTGAATTATAACTGAAATTTTGAATAATAATTCTATTATTTTAGTTGATTTTTGATTGAAAATTTTGATAATAATTAATTTTGAATTGAAATTTTTGATAATAATTGAATTTTAATTGAAATTTTGGATAATAATTTAATTTTAGTTGATTTTTGATAATAATTAATTTTGAATTGAAATTTTGGATAATTATTGAATTTTAATTGATTTTGAATTGAAAGTTTGGGTATTAATTTAATTTTAGCTGATTTTGAATTGAAATTTTCGAAAATAATTAATTTTTATTTGATTTTGAATTGATTTATGATTTTGAATTAAAAATTTTTGGTAATTTTATTTCATATTTTTTTTAAATTATAAATAATTGTTAAATTTTTTATAAAAATTTTAATTGAAAAATAATTTGCAATAATTAATTTAGTGAAGAATTTTAGTTCAAAATTTGTTAAATAATTGAAATAAAGAAGAATTGAAGAAGATCTGCATTTTATACCTACTAAAAAAAAAATATATTTTATTTAAAAATTTTTTTAAAAAATGTAAAAAAAGTCGAAATAGTCGCATTTTATTAAAATAAGTCAAAAAAAGTCGTATTTTTGAAAATAAGTCGGAAATAGTCGAAAAAGTCGTATAATCCGAGGCCTGATCCTGTATAATAACAAATAACTAATAAAAAAAAGTAATTATATAAATCATTTAGAATGAATCACATGGTATAATAATTTAGAAAAATTAATTAATTGAAAAAATATGATAAAAATTAAATTAAAAGTTCTATAAGCAAAGAGATAAATAAAATCGCAAATTTGTATTCATTATAAATATTTATTTTATCGTAACAGTAGGTATATTTTAAAACGTCGATTTTGACACCATAATATTTACAAATGACAATGAGTGCATAGACACGAACGTTATAAAATATGGAGGAGGCTTGAACACGTGTTTTTTTTTTTTTTTTTTTTTTTTTTTTTTCCTTTTTTTTTTTGACAAACGTCGATTACATTTTTGTAAATAATGTATATATAATAAATCTGTATTTGTTCTTTATTTACGATAATCAATAAGTCGATAGAATCTTGCGGATAAATCTCTTTCGAAATATTGATTTTTTTCACAGGTGCACACGCACCACACATATTCACGCACAATTTATACATACATTCAATAAATGTGCGTGGAAAATCTTATCTCACATATATATTTTCTTTTTCTTTTTTTTCTAAATGTGTTCTCTAATGATTTGTTAATAATAATTAACTTTGAACTGCTAGGAATGCAACATTATAAATCGTAGACAATGTTTGCAGTAAGAAAAATATAAACATTCTAAAGAATTCCAAAGATTTTTTTTAGCTCCACAACAAGTTCTTTTTTATAAATTTTTTTTTTTTTGTTTTTCTGCACAAATTCCAATGTGTATAATATTATCGTGATATAAATATTCGCATTACAACGATTAAAAAAGATTTGTAAGTTGCTACAAAGTATTTGTTTTTTTGTTTTTTTTTTAATTATCAGTCGAGTATTCCATACACGTGGGTATGAAACAAAAAAGTATATTATATTATATTTTAAAGATCTGATACTTTTGTGTAGTTCGAAATTACATGATATCGAGATCTTTCGTAAAATAATAAATTCATGAGGATAAATGGAAATTCTTAATTGTCTAAAAAATAATTATCATATATCTATTATATAAATAATAATAATAATTGGCTACTCGACAATATTAATTCTATTAAGTCATATATAAATTTCTATACTACTAAAAAAAACATGGCATATTTGGCATAAAAAAATATAAGACCTCTGACTAAAACAAAGCCTCAACATTTTAGCCTCTATACATAATCGTATCGCAATATATATATATAAAAAAAAAGAAAATACCAATCTACAAAGTTTGATCGAGAAAGTTTATATTGAAACATATAGAGTACATACAGTACGTGTGGTTTTTCGCTTAGAATCAAAAATAGTAAGTACAAAAATTGCAACGCATTAGAAAAGTTAAATCGCAAATAGAAAATAAGTATGTATATATGTAGCTGTTTCGCCAAACTGCATACGAAAGTAAACCAAAACGAATTACCATTTTATGATACCATCAGATAATAAAAATTAAATGAAACGCGTGAATATTTTCCCAAAATCGGAGAAAATTTTATTTATTTTTACCTTTTTTTTTTATTCAACAAAAATTTACATTTTCGAATTTAAATGTTTATCATAAGCTTCATATTTTAAATTTTTTGCTGTAATGATGTGGATAGACGTTTTAATATTCGATTTTTTTTTTTTTTATTCAACTTTTGAATTTATTAATTTTATTTTTGTTCACTGAAATTTTAATGTAATTAAAATTTTCAAGTTATCTGAATTTCTAGCAAGACAATTTTTTTTTTTAAATCAACTTTTTACGTATTACATATTGTATTATAAAATATTAAATTAAAATAAATTTTCCATAATTGAACAAAAATTTATATTTCAGAATTTAATTAATTATTAAGGTTCTTTTTATATTGATTTAATTCTTTAAAAATCAAGATTTTTAATTCCAACAATAAGTAATGTCGAATAAAAAATTACGCTTTTATTAACGAAACAAAAAATTCGATTAAATGATAATTTTGTTATCAAAAAGAAAAGAAAAAAAAATTCGATAACTCAAAAAATGTAATTACAGAAAATTCCTATAAATAAAAAGTAAATGAAAGAATAATTCATTCAAAATTATTGATTCAATGTTACTAACAGGAAAAAAAATTTATATTTGCCTCAGAGCTAAATAAATTTTATTAAAAGAAAATAAAAATTTTAATTCTGTCTAATAAAATTATATTTGTTTACAAAAATTTTTGATTTAAAATTAATAAATAGTTATTTAGTTTTAAGACAAATATATTTTTATTCAATTTTAATAAATTATATAGAAAAATTTCTATGGTTCAATTTGACAGAATAAATTTCGATCCAATGTTAAAGGAATTTTTGAATTCATATTCATTCAGTTCAACAAGTCATATCAAAACGTTTAACGATATATCTTCAAAAAAAAAAAAAAAATGTTCCTGAATTAAGAGAAAGAAAAGACAGTTGATGACAAGATGTTGACAATAAAAAAAAAAAGAACGGCTTATTAAAGTATCCAATAAATAAGCGAGGTAAACTGGAGGAATTTACATCTGAAATAAAATCACAGAAAGTTATTTACAGCTGTAGCGCAGTTTTCACGACATTGCTTAATGGTAACATTTACTGAATACACTTTACAGATGAGTTCGTTTCCCTGCTTAGAAGTTAGATTGAAACTGAATGAAAACAGACGACGCCAGTGACTAGATTTTAAACTAAATTGGATAAAAGGAGAGAACTTTATCCACCTTATTCATCATTTATACCTCTCGTCACTTTATATATATATATATATATACCTTCATATATATATATATAATATGCATTTTCCAAAAACTTTTCACCAGAAATTTATTCACGTCTGTTCTTGTAAGTTACTGTTTAAAAGTTCCGTATTAGCGTTATTTGAAGCTAACTGTTGTGCTTTCTTAAGTTTTCGATGACGTTTTTTGTTTCTCCTATGAATACAATAGAGAATGAAGAAAATACAAATTAATGAGCCAGCAACACAACTGATAACTAAAGTCCAAGTTGATTTTGCCTTTTCGCTTTTAATTTTCTCCTTAATAATTTCCTCGCATTCTTGATAAAGTGACATTGTTCTATTATTGAAATTTTCCGAACAATTTAAGTCAAATTTATTTGAACATTTAAAATGAGGAAGAACAGTGATATTATGTTGCTTAATCCAAATATTGAAATGTTGGCAATCACAGGTAGCCTCATCAAAGGAAATTGGATTATTTGTGAGATCGAGTATTTGCAATTTGCAAAGTGGAGCAATATTATCGACATTGATTTTTGAAATTTGATTTTCCGATATATTTAGATAAAATAAATTTGGTAATGGTCCGAGATTGGGAAATTTTTTGAATGAATTTTTAACAGCATGAATAATTTTTAATGGTGATGTGACAATTTGGGATTCGAAAACAGATTCAGTCAATTTATTGTCTTCGATGTAGAGTTTCTCGAGGCGTGGTAAGCTTAATAATCCCTTTGGAAGTGTTATTGAAATGGTTCTCGATAAATCTAATACCATCAACTCCTGTAAAGGATCGAATGCTCCATCCTCAACGCCTTGTAGAAAATTGTCCTTCAAATCTAAAAATTTTAGATTCGTAAATCGTGAAAATGTGTCTTTACTGATGTCAACCAATCTATTGTATGAGAAATCCAAAATCTGAAAAAAAACAAAATTTTTTTATTAATTTAAATATATACATAATTTAATTATATTTATTATAAATTAATAATAATAATAATAATAATAATAAATTGAATAAGTCAGGGAAATTAATAATCTAATTAATTATTGGTGAATTAAATTTAAATTAATTGAAAGAATTTTTTCTTTTTATGTAATTTTTGATTTTTAGAAAGTAGAAAAAGAAATTTATTGAAAAATTCTAATTAGAGAAAATTTAATAATGAATTAAAATCAAAATAATTTAACAATTATAGAAATAAATAATAAAGCAATAATTTGAAGGTATACCTCAATACTCGTCTGAAGATTTTGAGGAATTTTATCAAAACTTAGATTTTGGCAATTGCATGTGAGCATAGTTTTATCTTTGAAGTATCGACATTTCTTTGGTGGAATTTCTGAATTTGAGAGCATTGATTGAGACCACGTATCTTTTAATGCAAATGTTTCCGGCATTATCGTCATGCTGAATCCGAACAGGATGAGGCCATGGAAAATAAACAGATTCATGTCTGTAAAAGAAAAAAATAAATTAGTTTAAAATAAATTTTATTCAAAAAATTATAATTCGAATGATAAAAATTAATTAAACTTTAAAAAAATATTCCTACAATATTGTATTAAATGAAAAATTCTTTTTTTTTACAACAATCAAAATTATTAAATGAAAATTGTTTTTCTTTTCGAAAATAAAAAAAAAGTTGCAAAAGCAAACTTGAAAAATTAGGTCGAAGTAAAAAATTAAAATTCAATAACTAGTTTAAAAACGATGAGCTTTTATTTTGTTTTTGTATTTCAATTAAAAATTAATTACACCATGTAATAGATTTATTTTTAACGAAACACGTTCCTTGATTAAACGTTGAAAATTTCATTTGCATACCGGAAAAGCAAATACTTTAATAATTCTCAGTAAATAAACTTTTTACAAAAAAAAAATTAAATAAGTTTTATGCAGATTAGAAAGTGACTATTATTTAATAACTTAATGATAAAATTTTTGAAAATCTTAATTTTCCAAGTTTATCGCTATTCAGTTAAAGAGGATAATTTTCAAATGAATTTGTGTGACAATTTAAAGAATAATAATTTGTGACTTTCACAGATTAGTTCGAACTGAAACTCATTAGCGATAATAGTCGAAAAGATTTATATCTAAAATTTGTTTAATCTGAGTAAATAGGATATAGAGTATAATATAAGTTTAAGCTTAAATAACGTATCAACCAATTATAGGGAATCATAATTTGCATTAAGTATTATAGAGGTATTCTCGGAATAATTAAGATCGCAAGTCATGAGACTTAAATATAAACTTGTACGAAAATAGGACAAAATTTATATTGGGTACGTGAGTGAATTTTCGAGTCTTTATGCCTGTGCAATGTTATGTCAAAAGTAATATATATATACTATAGACAGGAAGAGAGAAAGAAGGAATTTCATGGCAAAGCATTACTTCCGACAAATCTGCTTTTATTCAAACTGAAATCGAATCTATTCAGAGATGAAACTTTTGTGCAATCGCAAATCGACTTTTAGACGTGTAAGAATCGCGATAGGTGAGAGATTTATTACCGTGAAACATTACTCTCTCAAGCACTTTTCAATATCACCTTTCCAATAATTTTTGTCTAATTGGAAAAATTAAGCACTTGAAATATGAACATTGAAAAAAAATTAAATTCAATCTTGAGTTTATTTTTGTAACTGATGGAAGAGCTTTTAAAATAATTTCAATATACAAAAGATCCATATAGTGAAAAAAAGAGATCAATTAACACATGAAATATAAATACCGTGTTGATGATTTCATTGAGAAAATGAAATTAAAATTTTTTTTTTATTAAATTTCAAGATTGAATACAAAAATAAAAATAATTAAAAAATATGAAACAAGATATATTACAATGAAAAAAAAAAATTTTTTTTTGACTTAAATAATCGATTACTTGACTATTATTAAATAATATTTATTTTTATTAAATAATTATTATTTGAGTCAATTCAGTTTTTTATTTGTTTAAAAAACAGAAATTATTGGTTCTAATACAGTTTATTTAATTCAAATGAAAATTATTTGGCTCAAGTGAATATTCATTTGATAACAGTCAAGTAACCGATTAATATGAAATTTCAAAATTGGAAATAAAAAATTGGCTTCGAATCAACTTTGAAAAAATAACTTTAGTCGCATTAAATTATATTAAAAAAAAAGATTCACAAAAAGTCGATATTTTTTTAAATTCTTAATAAATTTTATTATATAGTTAATTAATATTTTATTATAATATTAAATATATTCATTATATAACCTATTATAACTATGAAATAAAAAAAAGAAATTAATTAACTTCATTAATTCTTTAAAATTACTTAAAACAGACAAATTAAACAATTTTGCAATTCCTTTTTTCTTAAAAGTTTTACAAACATGTATGATTTATGGAAATTATTCTAATTAAGAATTTTTGACAAAAGTTTTTTATAATAAAAACAAAAAATATTAAATTCTTCAAATTGATTTTCTGAATGTTTAAATAAACAAAATCATTTTTTTTTGTTCTATAAATTTTTTAAAAATTACTATAATAAGTATATGTAAAATTAATTAGAATAAGTCGCATTTTTTAAAATGAAAGTATTTCTATTAACAAATTTACCATTTTTACCTGATAATAATGGTATTAAACTTTATTTTAAAGCTGAAATAAAGCATAAAATTGGGTGAGCGAATTTACCCGCAATGAGTGAAATAACCCCGTTTTACGGTAGTTGAAAAAATTTTTAATTTTTCTATAATTCAACTTCGGAAATAATTAATTTTTATTACTAATTAATTAATTAATTAATTTTTCTTAGTTTTTAAATGTAATTAAAAGTTTGTATTTTTATTTTTAGTTTGAAATAATAATATATAGGAAAATTTAATTTTCAATTAATAATTGTTTACTTTAAATTAGAAGTAAAAAATTTTTTTTTTATTATTTATACAAAATAAAATTCTGAGAATGTAATATTTTTTATTTTTAACATTTTGTTTCACAAAAACTGATAAATTTTTTTTTGGACTTAAAAGCAGAATTCCAAAGATCCATTTTAGAGAAAAAAGAATCCATTGGTAGAATATTCCATGGGTAATTATATTTTTATTTATTATTATTATTTAATATTTAGAAAATTTTTCGTAAATTAAAATAAAGTGAAACTTATAAATTCTTTTGCACACTTTTCTTGTGTTTCGAAACGTTTTTAAAGATAGGCATTCTATTTTATTCAAAGAGTTATATAAGAGGGTGAAAAAAATAAATAAAAATACAATATCCTAGATACCTACAGGACACATAAATACTGGCATGCTAAGATACCTCCTCTGGTTTCAATTCCCTGTAAAATAGTAAAATGTTTTATGCAAAATGGTAATTTCATTTCCCATATTCACGCCATAAATTTTCTTATAAACGCATAGTCAGATCGTTCGTAAGATTTTAATTTACGCTTTTACCTATAATAATTCAGCAACAAGAACAAAACGTTCTGAATCGCCGCATTAAAAATATAAATTTTTCTATTAACGCCATTTATTTTATATTCGGACATTTTTCAAAAATCTTTTTACATTAAAAAAAAGCAAAATATTTTCATCCGTTTATATATAAATCCTTGAATTGTAAACAAAAATTTTCATTATAGGAATAATTTAATTTCTGTATATAATCCTGTTGTGAATTAGGTTACCAGTAAAAAGTTTTGAAAAAAAATTAATATTTAATATTACATTTTTCAATTTTTATATGGAATTATTTATAGAGCTATAATTAATTTAATTTTTATAATAGTTGTTTTTATTGGTTTTATAAGCATTGTGGTTCATTTTTATTGTTGACATATAGTTTTAACAAATCTTGCTTTTAATTTAATGATATTCTCTCTACTTTAATTTCCATAAATGCATATAAAGTCATAAAAATATACAGTTCTAATGGAGAATAAAATTGAAAATTGAATTCTTATCGCGATGAAAACTATTTATATATAGAAAACTTAGATCAATAGATTTGAATATAAAATTGAAATTTTTTAAAAATAAGAAAATTCCATTCATATTTAAATGTAACAAGAAAAATAATAAAAATAATAAAAATTCTAATATATAATAATTAAGATAGAGTTTAAAAAAAGGGAACAAAAAAATTTATTTATCTGTATTATAAAATAAAAAAAAAAATGAAAAAAATTTATAATTTTCAGACGTTACAATATTTTTTAATAGGTTTAAAAATATCTTCTTCCTTTTAAATTTTTAATGAATATTTTAGCTTTATAAAACTAGTATTTCTAGACAAGAAGAATTAATTATTTTTAAGTTCATTTTTAAAAATAAAAATAAAAAATGAAATATTGAAAGAAACAGAAATTCTATCTGAATTGCAATGAAATGTCAACGCTGAAATTAATTTACCTTTGACATCTCTCTATTAATTCAAAGTCTATTTTTAATATTATTAAAGAAATATTCCAAGAAAAAAAAATCCAACAAGATAAAGAAGCTGACATTTGTTTTCAACCTAGAAAAAGCAGTCTGCGCAATTCTGAACTCGATTTCCTATTATTACGCAATGTACGCAGTTGAGGGTTGGCAAAAATATTGACGTTACTGAAAACGAGGGATGAGAATATAAAACTATATATATATATAAGAATGTATGGACTTACATTACGAACGAAAGGCAAAACTTTAAGTTGGGGAAAAATATATACCCGGGACAATATAGATAAGATAACAAGGATGTACAAAATATCCTGTCTTGACCTTTTCACCTTCAATATAAAAAAAATTTTTTTTTAAAAATTTGTCTCCTTTTTTAAATAATATATATATATATATATAAAACTTTTATTTATTTTTAATAAAAATTAAAAAAAATGTATATATATATTATGTACAATTTTCAAAGGTGTTTTAACATTCGTTAAAATATAATTCTGCAATAAAACTATAAAAATTTTATTTCACATTTTGTTTGAATTTACACAAAACAAGCGTCTGTCATGGGATACTTTACCATACAGGTAGGAAAGAATTAAATAAATTCCATGCAACCAACTATGCGAGAGTAATGAAAAAATTCCGCGAATTTATTTGAAACACAAAAGAAGTTATTTAAAATTTTTTAAACTATTTACATATATATAAAAAAATTTTCATGTACATAGACGATAATTAAAATTTAAAAGTTAAAACACAGTTTCCCCTTTCATTAATCTCGAAACACGATGCAAAAGATTGATGTATTAATTATTTTATATAATTATTACTTCATTATAATATATATTTCATATTATGAATTTCACCTGATATAATTTTGAAGCAGCATTATAAATTTAATATTTAATTAAATAATAATAAAATAATGGAAAAAATAAATTTAAACCAAAAATATTGAGTTATAAAATTTATTTTAAATTGAAAATGTTATTAAAATATTTAAAAATTATTAAAATGTCTATA